GATGTGGGGCTCGATCCCAGGACCCTGGGATCATGACCCGAGCCGAAGGCAGAGGCTTTAACCCACTGAGCCACCCAGGCGCCCGATACTTTCTTATTCTTTGATGAAAACTCAGTGCATACTGCAAAAAGGTGACTTAGTAAAAACTCTTATGTTGGATAGACAGAGGAGGAGGGTTTAGGGAATGGGATGTGACAGACAAAACTGCTTTGTATCCAACTAAACTTCTACCTGGAAGCTTTTCTGACCCTTCCTACCAAATTCCCAGTTTAGGGGTGCCTGGGTGGCTCAGTGAGTTAAAGCCTCTGCCTTGGGCTCAGGTCATGATCCCAGAGTCCTGGGATCGAGCCCTGCATCGGGCTCTCTGCTCAGCGGGGAGCCTGCTTCCTCCTCTCTCTCTGCCTGCCTCTCTGCCTCCTTGTGATTTCTGTCTGTCAAATAAATAAATAAATCTTTAAAAAAAAACAAAAAACAAATATCCAGTTTAATCATAAACATAATCTGTCTCTCGCCTGGGTGGCTCAGGGGGTTAAAGCCTCTGCCTTCGGCTCAGGTCATGATCCCAGGGTCCTGGGATCGAGCCCCGAATCGGGCTCTTTGCTCAGCAGGGAGCCTGCTTCCCCCTCTCCCTCTGCCTGCCTCTCTGTCTGCTTGTGATCTCTGTCTGTCAAATAAATAAATAAATAAATAAATAATCTTTTTTTAAAAATTTAAAAATTTTTAAAAAACCAAACAAACATAATCTGCCTCTGATCTAAAAATTTCCTCCTTTTATTATCCCTACAGGTTCTGAGAACTCCCTAGTTTCTTAACAGCCTATCCCATGTTATACCTAGCTTCTAATCTCTAGGTTTCTTTCTTCATTACTCAAGGAATGGGCTTTTCACAGTTTTATAAGAGAAAACAAAACATAACAAGGAATAGTATATATTCATATGTGTTTTTTTCTTTTTTAATGATTACTTTTAGGTGTAGGTGTTCATTTAGGTTTGGAGTAACCACCCTGAAAATTTTATTGTAAAATCCACTGTAGGGGGGATGCCTGGCTGTCTTAGTCAGTAGAACACGCAACTCTTGATCTTGGGGTTGTAAGTTCAAGCCCCACAATGGCTATAGAGATTACTTAAAAATAAAATCTAGAATAAAATAAAAAATGAAATAAAATGCACTGGAGGGGGCGCCTGGGTGGCTCAGTGGTTAAAGCCTCTGCCTTCGGCTCAGGTCATGATCTCAGGGTCCTGGGATCGAGTCCCGCATCGGGCTCTCTGCTTAGCAGGGAGCTTGCCTCCTCCTGTCTCTCTCTGCCTACTTGTGATCTGTCAAAAAACAAAAAAACAAAAAAACAAAAAACAAAAAAAAAATGCACTGGAGGGACACCTGGCTGGCTCAGTCAGTAGAGCATGAGACTCTTGATCTGGGGATTGAGAGGGTATAAGGATTACTTAAAAAAAAAAAAAAAAAAAAAAGACAATAAATAAAATGCACTATAATTGGGGAATGTTAAAGTATTTTATCTCCAACTCGGGTAATTCAGATTTCTGCATTCTTGCTTCCCAGGCTTACTTTATTTAAATGGACTTTGCTTCTCAGTTTGCATTAAAAGTTCTAATGCTGCTTACAGCTTTTAATAATTAAGAGATAGTATGGCTTGGTAGTTAAGGGCACACAGGAATCTACCTGGATTCAAATTATGTTCCAGCACTTACTGTGTATGCCAGCTTGTGCAATTTATTAAGCCTAGGATCTCAGTTTCCATGTTTGTTAAATGGGAATAATAATGGTACCTATTTCACATATTATAATGAGCATTTTCCCATATTTTAGAAAGTTTAACGACATGATTTTTAATAATCACATAATCTTTATCGTATGACATCTTAGTTTCCTAGTACTAATAACAAAGTTCCACATGTGGGTGTCTTAAAACAACAGGAAAGTTTGGGGTGCCTGGGTGATTCAGTTGGTTAAGTGTCTGCCCTCAGCTCAGGTCCTGATCCCAGGGTCTTGGGATGGAGCCCCACATCAGGCTCCCTGCTCAGCAGGGAGTTTGCTTCTCCCTCTCCCACTCCCTCTGCTTGTGTGTGCTCTTTCTTTCTCTCTCTCAAAATAAATAAAATCTTTTTTTAAAAAAACAGGAATGTTTTTCTCTCAGTCAGTTCTGGAGACTAGAAGTCTAAAATCAAGGTGTCATTGGGGCCGTCTTTTCTTTGACAGTTCTAGGGGAGAATTCGTCCTTGCTTCTTGCTTCTGGTATGTGCTGCCAATCTGTGGCAGTCCTTGGCTTATAGATGCATCATTCCTGTCAGATGATCATCTTCTCCTTATGTGTCTTCACATTGTTTTCTGTGTGTATCCATTTCTGTGTCCACATCTCTCCTTTTCATCAGAGAATACCGGTCATACTGGATTAAGGTCCAACCTGATAAGTTCATCTTAACTACATTAGGAACAACTCTGTTTCCAAATAAGATCACATTCTGAAGTACTGAGGATTAGGACTTTAACCTATCTTTTTTGGGGACATAGCTCAACCCTTAACATATGCCTCTATACTTAATAATAAATGAACTTAGCAGTAATTTATATAGTCACTTTCCTATTGATGAATGTATAATTAGTCTACCTTTTAATTTTTTAAAGATTTTATTTATTTATTTGACAGAGAGAGAGATCACAAGTAGGCAGAGAGGCAGGCGGGGGGGGGGGGAAGCAGGCTCCCCCCTGAGCAGACAGCCTGATGTGGGGCTCGATCCCAGGACCCCAAGACCGTGACCTGAGCCGAAGGCAGAGGCTTATCTTACCCCACTGAGCCACCCAGGCGCCCCTACCTTTTTATTTTAAAATTACATCCAAACACTTGTTTGAGTGAGAGATATTAATCACACCATTATTTATAATAGCAAATAACTCTAACCTAGAGGTCCAGCAATAGACAAATGTTAAATAATGTTGAAATTAAAAAGAAAAAAAAAAGGTATATTTGCATGTTATTGTCAGTGAAGAAGACATGATAGAAAATTATATAAGCAGAAACATACTCTGGGGGCCATGACATAATAACTTATACCAGACTAGCCCTCTAGCCATTAATAATAGAAAATGCAGGTTGGGGAAGATTTGAAACAAATCTTTATAGACATTAGGCAGAAGCCAGCAAAGATTCCCATC